CGGCCTTTTTCGCACATGTCCAACATGAAAACACGCACCCTAACATGCAACCCGGACACGCAACACGCAGCACGCAGAGGGCAGATGCAGCAGACAGGAGGATATGCAATGCGCTGCGAACGACGGCAACATACAGGCAGGCAGGCACACAACGGCGCACACACGCCACCCCAGCAGCAGCTTGAAGGCGGCGTGCATGCGTGCATCCTGCACCATGACTCCATACGGCTTGATCTGCGAGCTCAAATAGGCTGGAAGTCAACTTCGCAGATCTGGCTGTGTAGTGGTGCGCATTCTCGTTGCGGATGTTGTGAGTGAGGCATTGCTTCATTCATGGCGTTGAGAGTGGCGAGGCGGCTGTGTGCGCCAGCCCCGAAAGGCCTTGGCTTGGAGGAGAGCTACGCAGCTGGATGGACGAGGGCACTCAACGATCTGCGCAGGTACGTTCATGACCTGGTCTGCAGGGGCGATGCTGCCGCTGACAGGCGCTTTGTCGTGTGTGTGTGGGTGCAGTTTCAGTTTCCGCGGCTTCTTTGAGGAGCGCAACTTCTGGCACACGGGCTCGACGGGCGGCTTCTGGCTCATCGTCTTCACCGCGCCATTGTGGTACCCTGCAGCCAAGGTTGGTGCAGTTCAGACAGACACAGAAACACCTGACTGGCTCCGCACACAGAGAGGCCGCTGTCTGTGTCGTGTGTGTGGGTGTTGGTGCAGGAGTTTTACTGGACGGGTCAGTACAAGCAGTACGAGAAGCAGGAGATCCTCTCAGATAGGTTCACCTGGCTGCACGAACGAATGCTGGTCAGTCTGTCGCGGGTGGGTGGGCTGCGCCACAAGAAGGCACCAGAATGCGTCGAAAGGTGCTCTGTCTGCCTGCTGTCTGTCTGTGTGTCAATGCATTATTATGTATTTGTGCAGGAGGATGAGATTGAGAAGGTCCTCATGAAGCAGGTGCCGAGGGAGGGATTCCAAACGCCTGCGCTCTCTCTCGGTGGGCAGGCAGGCAGGCAGGCAGGCAGGGAGGGAATCGCTGCACCATACAGGCGACATGTGTGCTGGGTATGGCTGTTCGCTTCGATGTTTGTTATGGTTGTTCAGGGCCGGATGAACCATGAGTCTTACTGAGTGTTAATCGGCATTGCCAGGCAACAGGCAGCCCCACCCACAAGTCATGACTATGAGACCACGTGTGGCAGTCGTTGCGTTCTTCCATTGCCATCGGGAATCGGCATTCCTCGCTCGACTCAAGCATCTGAGCGGGAAATGTGAGATTCTTGAAGGTAATGGCAGTCCGACGAAGACGGCAATGTGTGAGTGACAGTGGTTATGGACGTCTGCGCATCTTGATGAGTATGGCGATGCGCTGTACGGACTTGAAATGATTGAAATGACAACTGTGTCCTAGTGTCAGACACCACAATCAATCCCCACAGTCGGTCGTCACTGCAGAGTGCATCTGCATCGGCCGCCCCTGGGCATCCATCATCAGTCATCTTGTCCAAAAGTCGTGCACTGACCTAACGTAGCCAGTGCCATGACAGATCCGATAAATGTCGATGGAATGACATGCAGCGAGTGAGTAGGCGAGCGTAAAGCATTGGCTCAGCAAACCAGCTCACTCTGCGCGTGTCTTCCTCTCTCCCTCTCTCTCTCTCTCTCTCAGACACACACACACACACCCCACCACTACATGCCTCTCTCCGCTTCCTTCTTGCCGTGTCTCGCATGCTGCTGCTGTGAATGACGACAGCCAGCTGACCCTTTTAATTATGGTCACCGCCATTTTGGCCCATACCACCGCGACCTGTCGTTTCTGAAGCCGGTAATTGCAAAACCGCAAAATCGGCCCGACACACACCACACACACACACAGGACAGACCACCACACTCACATCGACACATCAGCAGCGCAAAAGCATCAAGCCCAAAAGTCAGCAGACATATACGGCACACCACAGACCATACCCAGACCCACCAAGGAACCGCTCGGCCGACAGGTTCCCCCCTGTGGCTACCGAGACACTCAGTTAGCGCTCCAGGTCTTGGTCTTGGGGGGAAGGTCGTTGAGGAAGTCGAACCTCGGCCCGATGTAGCAGGGATCGTCCGCCGTGCCCCAGTTGCTGATGTAGGGCGCGTGCACGTCTGATATGAAGAGTGCCCGCTGGCAAGGGTCCGTCTCATCCTGTATGCCGGTCTCGATGGACGGACCATGGCCACACTGGATGTCGTTGAACCTGATGCATGCATGCCGATCGCACCACGGACAACACAGGCAACGTGTAAGCAAGGTGATGAGAGGCCTTGCTTGCTTACACGGCTTCCACTTGGAAGTCCTCGCCCTGTATGGCGGCGCGCTGTTCGCAGAGCTCCCGGATGCTCCACTCCCCCGGACCAGCAAAACCCCCCCTGAGCAGATACATACAAGGCAAGCGATACGGTTTCTCTGAGATGCCGTCGCTTCTTCTACGCTTCCATCCCACCATCCACGGTGACCTACCGAAGGTTCAACTTGCCGACATCGTGATCGAAGGGCGTAGGATGATCCGTCGAGTAGCTGCAGATGCCTGCAATGAATGCACGACAAAACAGGCCCCGCTGCTGGCTGCAAGTGAGGGATTTGGTCTCTGGTGCATGCCTACGTACATCGGCCGTTGATGACGACGCTGACACAAACACACCATACACAGGGAGGGAGGGAGGGAGGGAGGATTGCTGCACTTTGGTTGCGCCACGTGTCGATCCTGTTCACCTGTCCACCATGAGCCACATGAAGTTGGTCACCACGCGCGGATGTCGATAGCGATTCGGATCTTCGCCCGTCATGGCAGGGTCTTGCCACAGTGGTGGCAGCGACTTGATGTACCTGTCAGACATACGTTAACTCATAGCGCAACGGCAGGCAGAGTCTGTCGGTCTCTCATGAAACGAACTGCGTGATGTACCTGTCCACCGCTGTCCTCCCGGGATTTTGCCAGCCGGGATCCTCCCAGGGAGGCGGGGCGACGACAGCCCAGTGGGGTGGTTGTGGAGCGCTCACCGTGGCCAGCACGAGAAAGAACACGGATGTGGCAAAAGCGTGGACAGCCATGCTCTCGCCGGAAGCCGCCAGAAAGAAAAGGCCGTCACCCAAAAGAAAAACGAATGAAGAAAAGAAAACACCAAAGTCGACAGAGGAGCCCTGCGCGGCGGCCGGAAGAGCAAATTCCGTACCCGCATGCAACGGTTGAGGGTCAACGGCTTGGCCCCCAGTCTCGAAATCGGGGGGTTCGGATCGCTCAAGAGTGTTGACGTTGATGGCTGACGTATCAGCGCGGCCGACCCCCGCCGCTGCTTGTGCCGAGCCGGTTCAAACCATCACGTTTGAGTCCCCCGTGCATGAGCCGCACGAGGCCGCCACCTTCCGCCTCGGGTCTTCCCGGAGTCACCACCACGCAGACGATGTGCTGGAGGCGATTGCCGAGGAGGCTGCTGACGTGCCGACCTTACATGCAGTGACGTCTTCATTGCAAGAGAATCATGGAGACGCGGAGAAGAAGACTGGCGGTGCCTCTGGTCACGACTCTAGTGGTGTTGTTGTCAATGCCGATTCGGATGAGCCTGTGGTGACGAAACTCATTCCTGATTCAGCCAGTGGCACGCACTCATCCCTGCCGATGATGTTCTGCCAGCCTCATGATTATTGCGACGAGGAACTTGTGGGAGAAGTGGCTGCTGCTGAGAAAGAGGCGGCAGAGGTGGAGGTGCGGCTGGACTCGCCTCGAAAGGATGATGTCCTCGACGCCAAGCAGGGACACAGTCGACCCCTTGCCCAGCCCCATGCTGTCGCTGCTGCTGCCGCGTCCGTGAGCGTGCGCGGGCCGCCTGTGCAGCAGTCTGATGTGTTGCAGAACCTGCTGGATGCCTATTCTCGTGAGGAGGGCGACAAGTGGGGCAAGGGAGGATGGCAGGCCTCAGCGCCAAGGTGGGTGAGATCTGTCAGCAGCACGACACTCTTCTGCATTCATCGATATGTGTGCGCGTACTCCCTCTCGTCCACTCAGGGTGCCGACGAATCGCCGCCTTTCCTTCGTCGACCTTCGCTCAGCGGTCCATCGAGAGGTGATCCATGAGATGGAAGAAGCGGCCAACAAAGAAGACGCGACGACCAAGAAGAAGCCTCCCGCCACCCGGCGCTTCCTCAATCCTCGAGGCCTCACACCCAAGCTGACCAAGCAGGAGGACCTTCTCCCAGCCCGCACACGGTCTCTCCACAGCCCTCCTCCACCCAGGTCCGCCACCAGACCAGCGCCAAAGAAGCCGCCTGTGCGTCGTTTGTTCGGGACGGTAATAGAGCAGCGCACGAGTGTGCTGGAAACCAGGGAGAAAGAGGACAACCGGAGGAGCGCACGGGAGAGGGGCAGGAGCAGTGTGGGTAGGAAGAGGAGTCCCACCGCTCCCCTACCGTCACCTCAGGCGACTGGGCGCCGACTCACCTTGAAGGACGAAGCAGGAAAGGTAAGGAGACCGATAAGGACATCATGTCGCTTTCATGGCTATGTCTCTCTGTTCTCAGACCGCAGCGACCGTAGCGAGCACGTCCGTCACGCTGCGATGGCCTGTCAAGAACTCTCCCGAAGGCTTCCGCTGGCCCAATCGCATCGAGCCCATCTCCCTCGACGACCTGACCAGCCCACGGTCCGAGGACGTCGCCACGCAGAAGCTGCCCCCGACTCGCGAGAAGAAGCCATCCTTTTTCGGGCCGCTCAGGACGGTGGTGCTGGACACACCTGCAGTGAAGGACGCTGTTCCCAAGGAAGCCAGCCAGACCCCGCCGAAGGCTCCCATCCCCAACAGCAACGAGGCCCCAGCCAACACAGAAAAGGCAGAAGGAGAGGGAGAGGGAGGGATGGCGGAAGGGGTGGTCTCCACCCCCGTGCCGCCCATCCACTACCCATATGTGTGTCCGCCTTTCCCTGGTGTGCCCCGCCACTCGTTTGCTGCACCCCGCAACGTGTCAACGCCCCACCTACACAAGGCTGTCCCCGTCGCCGTCCCGCCTGCTGCGGCTCACGCGATTGTCCCCCCGAGACGGTCGGAGACGGGCACGAGAGTTGTGCGGATGCCGTCCCATGGGCCGCCAATGCGCCGCCCACTCAGTCAAGGAACTTCAATGCGGCGGGCGCCCAGCCTGCCTCGGTCTGGCTCTCTTGGTGGCTTCTTCCAGATGCCTGTGTCTCGACCCCCGTCTCGCCACCACCATTTGCCGCTCCCCCTGCCTCGGCCTCACTCGCCGCGTGTCAAGAGCAAGCCCCAGGCTGGAGTGCGGACGTGGGTGGTGATGGGGCAGCCCCGTGTGCTTGGAGTGCGTCGTCTGCCGGCGGTGTGGGCCAACGGCGGCTGGCAGGCAGCACCCACAGAGGCGTCCTTGGTGCAGAAGCAGGGCAAAGGCGGCCAGGAGTGATGGAGGACAACTTCGGAAGGGCCACCTGGTTGCATGTCGCAGGGACGCCCAGCCTCATGCATGCCACCTTCTGAATGGATGATGCGTGAGATTTTGTTTGGACGGATCCCGTGACTGACAGAGGATGAGACAGAACGTGCAGCGAATCAAATGGATTGAACTAATCACCATTCGACGGGACATATCACCAACATCATCAGGGATGCCACCATGCAGGAAAACTGCTCGTGGCGGCCTTGACTTCTCGGGGTCCGGGACAGCAGGAGCTCTGAGCTCGCACATCGTTTACCGGTCTTCTTGGTTTTCCCGCCGCTTGGAAGGCACTGAGGGACAGAAATTGAGCAGAGCTGATCATGAATCATTTGGTAGGACACCAAACAGCCTGCATCAACGCTCGATGTGTTCATTTTGGGGGTCTGCTTGTTGTTGACGTTTGTGCAGGTATCGTCCAGCAGGGCAATTGAGGGGCTCAAGGCAGCCATAGGTGACCCTTCCACCCTCACGCAACTGCCCCGGTGGGCCCTCACCAAGGCGGAGCCTCTCATCCGTCATTGTATCGAGGTGCCAATTGGCCAAATCGCACAGTGGCCGGCCGACAGCATTGTTCAAGCCCTCAGGCTGACGCAGGTGAGGGGAACATGGCCAAGGGGAGTGCGGCAAGGAATGGCCTCTGTGCGAGTGTTGCAGCTATTGCTCGCCAAGTTGTTTGACGAACTGCTTCTTCTCAAGGTGAGACAAAGGGTCGGCTCGCGTCACCCTCGACTTCCTGATCCGTGGGTGGCTGTGTCAGAGATATTTCACAAAGTCTGGGCAGCAGATCAACAAAATACAGGTGTGGATGGATGGGCACACATCAATCACGCTCCCGTACCAACCTGCCTTCTTGCAACATGACGATGCAGGCTGACTTCCAGGGCGTCCGCGCCATCCACGAGCAGAACGAGCTCCTCCGCTCGTGCATCATCTATCTGGTGCCCCCGTCCGTCAAACACATCCTCGAGCACAGCAACATCCCAAACATGCCCAACCTGAGAGACAAACCGAGATGCACCCACCCGGCCCTCCTGAAGCTGGTGCGGTACTCTCTCTCAGCGAACAAGAGCTCCGCTGCCGCGCGTATACAGGCTATATGGCGGGGGAAGGTCGGAAGGCGGAGGCATCGGGATCAACTGCGAGACATCGTTCACAAGGCCGAGGCCAAGCTGAGAGTCAGTGAGAGTGCATTGATGTCAGGAGAGCGCCGTTCGATGAGTCTCTTTGTGTTGTCTTCAGGCAATGGTGCAGGAGTCCGGCTCCCCAACCGCGAGCCCCTCTCGCGCCATCATGGGCACTCCCACATCAGCTTCCACAGACCGAGACGACAGCCAGCTGTCGCAGCAGCAGTCGGCCCTCATGCTCATTCAGCACATCACACCCAGACTCACCAAGATCGGGCTCACCATTGAGGGCGTGTTCCGCGCTGCTGACGTCAACTGCGGGGGTGAGGTGTGGCTGTCGGCCTTGATCGCTTTCATGAGGCAGTCGTGCCGAGTGCCGCTCACACTGGGTGATGCTCTGAAGCTGCTGGGGCTGTTTCGATCGCCGACGGGCCGCAACGTTGCTGCCAAGAGGGACTCAGCGACTTACGCAGAGTTTGCCGGTGAGTTGACATCGATGGTGGAAAATGCCGTTAGTTACATCTGTATGTCTGTGTGTCTTGCCATTGCTCACTCAGGCAGCTTCCGTCTGCTGCTGACTGAGACAGCATGCCAATACACCGTGACCCACCTGAACATCCAGCAGCTGGCGTACGCATGCGGCATCGCCGAGTGCGAGACCACATCCACCGCCAGAGGCCCATCAACACCATCACCACACCATGCAGGGGCCCCCTCCCCTTCCCACAGCACCCTCGGTCTCCCGGACCGGAGGAAGTCGCTCACTAAGATAGCTATCCCGTCTCTGTGGGATGTGACTACATGCCTCAAGGCCCGCTATGGCAGCGGCTTCACCTGGGGCAGCCTGGTGGACAGTGCAGAGAGGGCCAGGTTGCAGCGGCGGATTGAGCACCTCCGGGGTGTGAGGCGGGGGGAGGCCTGGGGGGGAGAGAGTGGGGCGGGGGAGGAGATGGCCATGCTGAGACAGCAGCAGAGCAGCCCTGCGCCACTTACACAGGTGGGGAGGGCCACGGCGGACCCATGTGTGTGAATGTTGGTCGATGTGGGTGTGTTGGTGGGTGTGATGATGTGTGCAGGTGCCGAAAGATTGGTTGACGTACCACTTGATGAGTCTGCGGTTGCCTGCGCCGCCCGTGGTCATATTGGCGGCGATGGAGGGGCTGGCAAAGGGAGATCAGGACTTAATCAGTGTGGATGCCATCAAGCATCTGCTGACCATCAATGTTGACCCCACGTAGACAGACATAGAGATATATATTGTATAATAGGCACATGGAAATGTGAACACATACACACACACACGTGTCTCGCGTCTTTCTTGCACATCCACATATACGAGACACCACACGAAAATGGATGGATGGACTCTTGTACACTCACTCACTCGTCACATCTGTGTGTATCTATATGAATATACATGTCTGTTGTGTGTCACATCTATGCACTGCTGCTGCCGCCCTTGCCTCGCTTGAGCAGGTAGTTGTAGCTCTCAACGGCACGCTTGAAGCGCTCAGATGAGGCGTCCTTCTTTTTGGGGTCCGACACCTATATACACAGACACATACACATACACATACACACGTATATACGCAAACACCAACGTGGCGCGCAGCCACGTGTGTACCTTACCTTGTCAGGGTGGTGTTTGAGTGCGTATCGCCTGAAGGCATCTTTGACCTCCTTGGCATTGTGGGAGCGGGAGGGATCCAAACCTGACCCGCACCACACACCATGCATGCACGACACACACCATTAATGCATGACCTGGGCACACGCGGACATACACACAACACAGGGAGGGAGTGTGCACCTACCGAGGTTGCGGTAGTGCTGCGACAGATCGTCCTCATCAGTACCAAACCTGACAAGACATCGAGGGATGGCGGGAGGGAGGGATGAATGGATGGGTGGGTGGATGTGTTCAACACACCAGTAGTTTTGGTCGGCTCTCTCCTGCTCGAATGCTCTCTGATGCTCGGCCTCCTCGAACGCTTGAGCACGCTCACGACCGCGGGCAAACGACTCTGCACACAATGAACACACACGGTGGCTCGGTTCTCCGGTGCATCCATGCCATGTGTACCCGAGTCAGAGTGTTCATAGCTCGCGTAGCCAGCGGGGTTCTCACGGAGAAAGTCGGCGTGCCGCCGCATCTGCAGGCAGGCAACACACCAGCCACAACAGACAGACACCCGTCTGTATGCCTGTCCCCTCCCTCCGTCAATTCATGGACACACCCACCTCCTGTTTGCGAAAGAAGTCACCGATGTCGCTCTGAATGGACGGCAGGTAGTGGGTGAAGACCCCCGCAACCACCGAGATCAGCAGCGACATCGGCGAAGACAGCACCGTAAGCAGCCGAAGCCGTGACAGCAGCATCAAGGTGCCAAACAGCAGGAATGAGATCTTGGTCCCAGAGAGGTGGTAAATGCCCGCCGGTTTAGCCGTGAAGCCATGCACCAGGGTGGTGAACTTCCTGTCGAACCTCGAGTACTCGAACACGTAATAGGGGCACCACACGTTGTGCCGACGGATGTTGTGAATCTGCAACGACTGAACCGCAGTGCGCATGTCGGGCTGAAACCCTGTCAGGGCACCTACACACACACACACACACACACACACAGAGAGAGAGAGAAACGTTATCCACCTGTCTCTGCGTGTCGTCCTCTGTTTGTTTTGTCCCACTCACTTTCCAGTTTGCTCTTTGCTGTCAGTCGTGCGTATTCCTTGAGCTTGTCAGGGAGCGCGAAGTGGATGGCATAGTCTGGCGACACGCTGAATGGTAATACAGTCTCATCATCCTACTATGTGTGTTACCACACACACAGCCACACCCACAGATGCGACAAGAGCAGTTCTGGGTGGGGTGGTGGATGGTGGGTCTGCGTCTGTAACTTACGTCTGTCACTCACTCACTCACCTGCAGGATTTCATCGATCGGCACGGTCTGCACCACAAAGTCCCCTGCCAGCCTCTCGGCTACGGACCGACCTGATGGATGAGCAGGTGCACAGACAGACAAGGGCAGATATAATCGTGTAGCTGTGTGTGTGTGTGCTTACTTACGGTGGTCGAAGGTGGCCAAGATCTGCGTGTATGGCGACGAGAAGTCGACACTGTGGTTCCGTAGGTGCACAAACTCGCTCACACGACGCCTACATATATCCAGACCCAGCCAACAGAGAAGAGCCAAATGCATTGGTTTGGCTTGTGTGAATGAACGCATCCGGGTGCTCTGCTTACGGTTTGCCGAGCGGCGGCGTGTAAGTGAATTCGCACTCGACAATCGCACTCATGACCACATCGAACGCATAAAACGGCAAGAACTCCTTCCGTACAGCGGGGGGAAACAGCCTGCACACCAAGCGTTACATCCACACAAGCATGCATCTGCGTTTCGTACGTCACTCACTCGGTGAAGTTGGACACACTGAACATGCCGCCGATTCCCTTCAACATGGCCGCCTGGGCCTCCTTGTCGCTCACTGCAAACGGCACCGCAAGCCGCGGGCGGCCTCTCGACTGCCACCGTATGAACGTCGTCTGATGGCATGGGCGCCGCTGCAGCTGCGGTAGATGCCGCGTGAGCCGGATGAGTGCTGCGCACGATGAGTGGAGCGCCCGTGAGTGGATGGCTATGGCGGTGAGGCACCGGTGGACGGGGTGGACTGCTGCTGCTGTCGACAGCTGCATTCTGTTGGTGCCTCATTCATCCGTGTCAATCACCACGCCGCCTCATAAGCGACAAGTGGCAAGAGATCCGTGTTCATAAGCAGCGAAATGCCGGAGATCTACCACAATCGTCCTCTTCCCCTGCGAGCTTATCAGCAGCGGTTTCAGGGAGCACCCTAGGCGCTCACGATTTGCGAGCGCCCCAGACCCATGTACTGCTGCAGTTGGGTTGGTGCTGCCCTGCCCTGCCCGCTGTGTATGTGATGTATTGACTGACACATATGAATGGCTTCAACCACCGACACACCGCATGTGATATATGTGATGTCTGCCAGTCACCGCTGGCTGCGTTCCCCCACCCGCTCCCTCCCAAGTTGATCGATTGACCTGCACTGCACATGACCGACACGGCCGGCCGCCATAAAAGCGGCTACACCTACCTTCTGCATCAGCACACACATATATAAACATACACACATACGTACGAATGGCCTATACTGTATAGATAAGTAAAGAGAGGGCGGACGCCTACACACAACTGGACAAACTTTTTCAAGTAGCACCTGGACTCCTTCCTACTCACTCAGCCGCATGAGTCACACAAGCTAGTCAATCTACCTTCGCGGCTCCTCACTATGACTAAGACTAAGAAGGCGTCATGTATAACATACGTCGTCTGACTCGTCTGCATCAGAATCAGACGCCAGAGGGTCGTCTTCAAGGGCCTCCAGGGCCTCCATGGCGCTCATGCTGATGCGTCGCTGACAATGGGGTCCTCAGCGGCCTCCTCGATCCACTCTTTGCACCCGCCCTGCATACATGGATGGCATTCACACATACAGCAACCAGAGCCAGCCACACACATTACCTTGCGGCGGCTGCTTATGTGTGTGTGGTGAGTGCACTGCACTGGGACCGACCGTTCTGAGGATGGTGGCCTTTGCTTGCTGCCGCAAATTGCCACTGATCGATTAAGACGCAGCAAGACAGCATCCCATCCACAGCGACACGTTTTTTGTGGAGCGTGTCCGTATGAGTGCACGTGTGCACACCTGAGGAGGGATGTGAAGGAGTCTGCGATGAGAGTGTCCAAGAAAGAGCCTCTAGAAGGCAGCCCACGCGCGAACATACACAACGTCTCAGTGCACTCCTGGTCAGCTGCGTAGATTTGCTGCATTGCATCCCACACACACGTACACACAGAGTTGCTCAGCACTGCCGTGCTTGCGGTCCCGCTTTTCCCTGCCCACCTGTGTCTCATTTCCCTCGCGAATCAGCAGGGCGCACCCACTAAGATGTGTTAGCATATACTCGGCAGTCATGTCGACGCCTTCGCTGCCCGAGCACGGCAGTACGGGAGCACGGGCGTTCGGAAGTATGCCTGCATCGATGATGGTCTCGAGAATGGCTGGCTGCGACTCGGGCACCGTGTCTGATCACGCACACGGGAGGCATCACGTGGTTCGGTGGGTGGGTGGGTGGGTGGGTGGGAGGGTGGGCGTGTGGGTGTGTCCGTCCGTCTTACGAATGGTGCTAGATATGGAAAGCAATGTCGATGCAAGCACGTTGGCCGCGTTCTCACGCGTCTCCTCGTCGGGCGATATCAACAATGGTGAGAGCTTGGACAGCAAGCCGTCTTCGAAGAAGGTATAGGCGAGCCGCGACGGGATGACTTCGGCCGGCTCCTTGGGCGCTGCAATCAAAGCAAACGAGACGTCCAGATCTATTGGTGTCAAGATGAAGATCCTCCTGGGCGTACCGTAAAAAAACTTTCTGAGGATGGTGGTTGCGGCTCTCTTGACCATCAGCTGCTGGTGGTCCAGCAGCTGCACGAGCGGAGGCAGCCCGTCAGCCTGGATCAATTCGCCCGCCCACAGCAAGCCGTTCTCATCGGCCGCAGCACAACTTGATGCAGCGGCACAAAAGGAGCCGAGGCAAGATCTATATCAGGCAGCTCTATGGCACGCTTGAGCGCCTCTATCAGGGAAGATATGGCACCCACCCTGACATAGACACACACACACACAATGCTCACGGCGGTCAGTCAGCTGGCATGCCTTCTTCCATCTGTATCAACACTTACCGTATGAGTGCCTCCACTGCCTTCGTGTCCATTCTCCCGATTGACGTCAGCAGCTTCGATGCCTCCTGCTGCACAGCCCACTCAACATGCTCGCCCAGCAGAGAAATGACAGCCGCCCCGAAACGGTCAGCAATGACAGCAGCAGCGTCACCCGGCCGTGTGCTGTTGGCGATGAATGCAGACATTGCCCGCAGAGCACTCAGCTGCTGCCACTTGTTGCTGCTCTCCAGCTGCGTTGTAAGGCTCGACGCCTCAGTGTCTTGCGAAGCCACTGCCGCCAAGCACAGGAACGCGAATAGGACAGCCGACAACATCAGACGACTCGTGAAATGAAATACGCGTAGATCTGAACCAGTGACGCTTTCAGGGACTCGCGAGTATGACACTTCCGGTGAGTCGTCCTCCGGAAGGCGATCGTCTGCACGTTTCACGAGGCAAAATTAGGGCACGGGTGGAGCAAAAGGGACGGCTGCGCCAAGCAACACTGTATGCCGGCTCTACGAAGAGGCCTACTACCGCAGAATATAGACAGATCTACCGATTGCTCTATCATGACGTCCATCAGTGTCTTGCTGATGAGTCTGTTGGTGGTCATCAGCCCTGCCGAAGCAGTGATGGACGCCAAACAGGTCAGTCATACAGCGGAAGAACAAATGGGCAGCGCTTCTCATGTATGTGTGCCTGTCGTGCAGTCTGCCGGTTTCGTCCTCTTTCGCCGTCCCATCCCGCCCATCAGTGTGCCCTCGTCGGCCAACCGCATTGCGTATCGCCGCGACCCCAAAGTGACGGTGGCCAGCTCAACCATGGACCTCCTTCATGCCTTGACCGCCTCAGTAGACGTGAAGGTCTGGGTGAACATCACTACCAACAAGAGGAAGAGGGGCACGTACGGCGTCAAATGCACTCCCGACAAGCCTCTTGGCATCGTCCTGGACCGGGCTTGTGAGGAGGAGATTACCTCGTCAATCCTCAAAGGTCTCGACAGCTATGCCTTCGTGTACAACGGGACGCAGCTGGCTGTGAGCGACACTGTGGCCGAGGTGCTGGAGAGGGCCGGCAACAACGCAGCCAACGCCATCACACTCGAAGTCACCAAAGCACCGAGTAAGCCAACCAGCGAGGCAGCCAGACAGCCGTAGGATGATGCAGGGAGGTGGCGGGAGGGGTCATGGGAAGAGCGGGAAGGAGACAGAGGACGGGTAAGTAACATACGGACACGTGTGTGTCTGTGTGTGCGTTCGTGTCAGCGAAGGCACGTGTGAACAGACGACGCGCGAGGCGCCGCTTCAGGGGCTCGAGCGTCGATGAAGGGCTTTATGAGGCTCTCATAGATGACAGAGGCTCGAGCGTCGATGAAGCGCTTTATTATGCTCTCATTTGTGATGATGATTGATCGCTTGGTACTGAATCTGCCCGGCTCCAGCTCTACGGCTACAGGCTCGACCCGCAAACAATCGCCCCAATCCGGCCTTTCTGTCTGCTTGCTGACCACTCTGATGTCGGCTGCCATCTGTCTGTGTCTGCAGTGCCTGAGGCTTTACGCGGTAGCGATGCCGCCGGCGAGTTTGGCATTGAGTGCGCCAGGCCGCTGCTCATGGGGCCTTGACGACTACTGCAACCTGACGACTTGGGCGTCCGTCCATGTGTTGCTTCGGGTGTGAACTGAGGAGGACAGCTCGCCAGACAACTACCACCTCAGCCTGATCTGGTTGATGGCTTCACACACACGCAGGCCGCCTGACTATTTCACATGTGCGGATCTGCCATCAAGTAGGGGCGGGAAAGGAACGGATGTGTAGTGTAGTGTGAAACACGAAGGTTTTTCGTTTGTATATTATGTGCGGCCCATCCTGCCTCTCTGTGTGTGACTGACTCTCTCGACTGATGGGTGTTCTTAGTTTGTCGACCAGTGAGCCGGTCTTCCTTGGTTGGTGTGGTGTGTGGTGTGTGTGGGACTCGGCGAGTGAATGAGTGCACACATGGCATCCGGCGGCCGGCCGTGACGACAAAGTGAAGGATGTCTGTGGGGTGTGATTGACGTCTGTGTGATGTGAGGGTGAGGTCAAGTGACAGACAGACAGACGGGCAGCCCTACACGTGTGGACATCGTCGAATGGAATGGGTGAAGGCATGCATCATTATTGTGCAAGCTTGACTGATATTGAGTCGGTTGACACACATGTCAAGAGTCACGCACATGCACCACACACACGCGCCACTCTGTCTGTATTTCTGCCGACTCAACCAACCACTCATTCATTCACTCATTCACTCAGTCCACCGTTGTGTCAATGAAGGCGTCCCACACCAACCACACAACGAGGGAGAGAGAGCACCAAACCGTCTCGCATCCATCCATCCGTCCATCACAATCAAACCATTACCCATACCATTCCCATACACACATCAACGTCGACAACCAAAGCGAGACGGATGGCGGCCGTCGCGAAAACATCCGCGGAAGCCTCCAATCGCCTGTCTGTGGCTGTCTGTGTCGGTGTGCTGTGTGGTGCATGGCATCGATCCATGGGTGTCTGTTTGTCTGTGTGTGTCAGGTCATCTGAACTGCGGCCTCTGCTGGTAGCCGCCGCCGGGTCTGGGGCCCTGGCCCTGCTGAGTGGTCGAGATGATGTGGATGTTGGGCAGATCCATCTTCAACTCCCTAGCGAGGGACGGACAGAGGGACGGAGGGACACACCAAGAAGACCGTCACCATGTGGATGAATGGATGGATGGATGGAAGGATTGCCCTATCGGCGGATCTGTCTGCCTGTCTGTCTGTCTGTCTGTGGGCCTGTGTGTGCGTATGTGTGTGTGTGTGTGTGTGTGTGTGTGCCCCTTCCTCCCTCTCTACATACTTGAGCATTTCCTTGGTGTCTGCGTCGACGTGGATGGAGTCGGTCTCGACCTCTGACCGCTCGGGGATGAACTCCATCCGCCGCTCCCGCTCCTCCTCCTGGAGCTTCAAAGAGATGCCTCGCACGGGTCCCTTCTGGATGCGCTTCATCAAATGCTAACACACACACACACACATGGCAGATATCAGCAAAGCGAGGCTCTCGTATGGTGTGGCGGCTGGATTGGGTGTGGTCGTTCGTACAGTGACGAAGCCGGCGATTTTGTTCCTGAGTCGCTTGGAGGGGATGATGCCCACCTCCTCCGAGATCTTCTTGTTGATCTGGAAGTCCAGCGTCAGCCTACACACACGCACACGGTAGATCTGTCATCTGCGGCGGCGGGTGCGTGTCTGTGTGTGTGCTCACTTGGAGTAGTACTTCTCCACTATCATCCGCGCGGCCCTCTTGACCGTCTTGGTGCGCACACGACCCTGACACACACAACCAACACACAGCAGACGACAAACGGCGAGATTCGGACTCGCTGCAGGCTGCGTGCCTGTGGCTCACCATGGTGGTTCACACACAGGCGTTGCTGCGTTGGCGCGTCGATGCCAAATTGCGAGCTCAGCCGCGCCTCAGTTGCGAGCTAAAGCTCAGAGGGAGATCTGCAAGCGAAGAAAGAAAAGGAAAATAGAACAGCTGGAGCGTTTGTAGACGACGTGATTTGATAAGATGGAGGTGAACTTGAGTTGATCGGAGATTGCCCTTCCGCGATGGTGCACTGCTCATCGTCGAGCCTCAGGCTGACCCTGTCGACAGGCATGTCCTTCATGCACTCGTTCGTGCTGCTGCTGGCCCAGGTGCCCGCCACCAACGTGCCCCGGTGCCCGCCGGCCTTTCTGGTGCCCTGGTGGGAGAAGGGCGCTCTGCGGCAGAATGGCAGCGCTTCGCGGCAGTGGAACAACGTGCAGGTGGCACACACACATGACATAACCATACACACAAACATACATACAAAGAGGAAACGGTGTTGTTGTTTGGTGTGTATTGACTGTGTGTGTGTGGCTGTGCAGGTGGTGGTGGATGTTGACGACACCATCAAGTCCAGCGGCGGATGGCGGATTCTCAACATTCCCATCGGCGGCATCGACACACAGTGAGAGAGGAGAGGACCCACAAGGAGATCTCGAGGGCAGAGGGAAGGAAATGATGCCTGCCTGTCTGTCTGCCTGTAGGTATGACCGTGGCGTCTTCTACCCCGGTGCATCCCAGTTTGTGTTTGAGCTGGCGACCCACCAGCCGCGGCCGTCCAGCCCGCCTCGAAAAATCGGCAACAGTGTCAAGCCCCTGCCCCTCGCTGTCCTCACCGCCCGCATTCCCCAGGTGCCCATCAAGCGCACCTCCACTGTCTTCCGGCGGTTCAGGGAGATTGCCAATGAAAACAACTATGCCGAGTGGGGAATCGACCTCAGAAATGGGTGCGTGACGGAGTGGTGGGACAGACTGATGGGCGATGGATGGATGGATGGATTGTGTGTCAGTGTGTTGTATTCGACGCTGAAGCAGTGGGTGTTTCAGTGGACCAAGGGGGACCGTAAGTTTGAGAACTTCGAGCTCCTCAAACAGAGACGGAGGCGGCAGTTTGGACACGACAAAGTCAAGTGAGTCAGGATTGACCCATTGCAGCATGGAGCAGACACACGGATATTCAGACAGACAACCCCTTTTCTCTCTCTGTGCGCTGTGGTTTGGTGTGGTGTGGTGTAGGTATGTGTGGGTGGGCGACACGGGCGAGATGGACAGAGAGGCCGGCGAGATGATGGCCAGGAAGCACCCCGAGAGCATCCTGTAAGCATTTCAATGACAGCAAACATCCATCCATCCATCCACCCACCACCCATCCATCCATCCAATCAATGAATGAGTGTGTGTTCGCCTGTCGCCGCGCTGTTCAGTGCCGTTTTTCTGCATTATGTGTCCGAGCGACACCATCTGCCCGCCGAGCTGCCCGAAGACTACTCAGTCAACGGCACTCCCATCTACTTCTTCAGGTGCCCTCCCACCACACACACACACATATCCCATCCACCCCTCCCCATGTGTGTGTATGTGTGTGTGTAGGACTTACATCGGTGCGGCCAGCAAGGCGGCTGCCAGCAGCCTGATCAGCGGCGACTCCTTGGTGCGTGTGGTCAACCGTGCGGTCAAGGACCTCGACCGCATGAACGTCAGGGCCACCTCTTCCAAGTGGAGGGACCTCAGAATGGACTTCGAGGTAAGCACACACCATTCCCTTCCTCCCACCCTGTCTGTGTGTGTGTGTGTGTGTGTGTGTCAGGAGGCCGAGCGGTTGCTGGGCCCGTGGCGGAAGTTCAGAGACCCCGCATGGCTGGAAGCCAAGAAGGCGCTTGAAGACAAGTTCAACCCCACAGTGCTCGCAGACAAGCAGCGGAAAGGCAGCAGCAGTGGGTCAAGGACTTATCGACCTGTGTCAGCACAGCAACCGCCCCCACCCCCTCCCCCTCAGCAGCCGCCACGGCCACAGCAGCAAGGCGCTGCCTTCGCCTTCGTGTTCGAGTGATGATTCGTATCTTGATGGTTGATGTGCGGCCGAATGTGTCTGAGTGATGTGCTGTTGTGTTGGGAGGCTTTTTGGTCAGCCAGTCAAGTCTGGTGTGTGTTACTTAGTCAGTTAGCCCTTCCTTCTCGCTCGCAAAGATGGCCTTTTTGTGTCTGGTGGGCGGTGGGCGGCGGGGCGGCTGGTGGCAAGAGGTATTTGTTTGTTGTCCCGGCCGTGCGAGGAGGGAAAAGAAGAGAGCGGCTGTGTGAATGAATGGAGAGCCTGAGAGGCTCAGTTTTGCCTTCTTGGTTGCAGATACCTGCCGGTGGGTACCTAGATTGACTGATTGGCGAGAATGAGATGGATGGATGGATGCGTGTGGGTTCACGTGGGTTTTGGCATATCCACTGTTAGAAGAATGCACGATTGCCGTGGCTGATCGATCGATCGGTTCAAAACAGGCCGGTCTGTCTGTCTGCACCGCGACACGAATGCACTCACGCGTTACCACCTACCTACCGAGAGCACCTCACTCACACAACACTCACGCTCACGCCACACACACACACACCACACACATGGTTCGATTCAGGCACGCTTTGCGCGTGGATGCGTAGCAGATGGATCCGGCCGGCCGGCCAGCCAGCCACACTAAAAAGATAACAGACAGGCACATTGATTCGTTCATTCTTTCCGTCCCATGGCCACAGCGTCCGTCCGTCTAGGCAGTCCGCCCCGCCCCGCCCGCCGCCCATTGGGGCATCACTCAATCAACCGACCAACCAAGCAGCCCACCGGAGAGAACAGGCAGATAGATAAAGTCCCCTCCCTCCCTCCTCCCTCGGCGTGTCTGTCTGAGTGAGTGTGCCTTGATCGGTCTGATCTGATCGGTCTATCTAGATTAGATGAGTTCTTCCTCCATGTGTGTTTGGACGGTGCAGTCGGAGGTGGGGTACGCCACACACGTCAAGGTGAAGCCGGCGTCGAGCTGCGAGTCGTCCAGAAACGACTGCTCGCTGTTGTCAACACCGCCAGACACAACCTTGCCCGCACACGTCGAGCATGACCCCGCCCTGATGAAGAGAACGACACACAACACACACAGAGCACATGGGTTCCTTTCCTCTCTCTCTCTCTCTGTGCGTGCGTGCGCGTGTGTGTGTGTCAGATCTCCCCACCCCCACGCACCTGCATGAGTAGGGGAGCTCAATGCCGGCCTCCTCAGCGGCATCCAAAATGTATTGGTCGTCGGCGCACTCTATCTCCTTGTCGCCCTCGGGGGTCTTGAGGGTCACCTTGTAGGCCAACTCGGTCTGCACCGGCAGGCGGCGGTAGTGGGTGCTCTTGAGGGGCTGCAGGTAGCACAGCTGGGAGCACCCACCCACACCCGCGATGAAGGCCGGCTGGGAGTTCCTGTGCACATAGCGGTTGATGAAGCGCGTGTTGATGGCTGAGCAGGCCGCGATCAGGGCAACAAACACGGCTACCGCAAACTTCATTTTCTGCACACACAATTGTGACCGAGAGGGACAGGAGAATGAATGCTTTCTGCACCGTGACTGTGCGTCAGTGACGTGCGCGTCTCCGCACCAGGCAACAGAAGATCGCGGGCGGGGTTGGGTCGGTGGCGGGTGGTGGGTGGCGGCTAGCGCTTCAAAGTCTCTGCAGATCCTCCTTCTCTTTGTTCCCGACCCCTCTCGGCTCGCAATCTCATTGGCAGCCAGTGAAGTTTGTTTCGCTCAAGGATCGTTAGGGCAGGGTCGATGACAGAAATCGCCTTTGGCAGTCCCCTCTCGGTGATCCGTCGTCGGCTTCTGGTCACCCATAGCAGCCTGAAGAGTGTGGAGGACGACTGTGACACCCGGCTGTCACGTTAGGTGGCAGGGACGGGCGCTCTGGAGCCGTCGACGCCTCAAGGTGGTGAAATGGGTGACGGCGAGAGCGGTGGGGGCTCAGCAGACGACGACCCCTCCGCCGTATGTCACTTCGAGCGCCTGGGGCAGCCGGCCGATTGCCTGTGCTTGGTCTTCCTCACTGCAAGGTGCGCGCGATATTGACGAATAACAACTCCACACACAAAGGAAAGGCCCCAATATGGGTGTAATTGCGTGTGTGTGCGTGTGTGTGTATGAGTGTGTTCAGGGAGTTGGGTCGGATGTGCCGGACGTCACGCGCCTTCTGCCATGGGATAGTCCCCGGTGCGTCGGAGCTCATCATCAGCCTCAAGTACGGCTACGCAGCGGCCGACCTTCCCTCCCCTGAGGCACTCCGCACCACTCGGGCCGCGACCACGATCCTCCCCCTCTCATTTGCGTTTCCCTGCCCATCGCCCTCTCGCCAGTCGCTGCTGACACTGCTGCCGGCGTCGTTGCGTGGGGCTGGAGGTGGTTCGGTGTGTGTGGATGGCACCAGCAGCACCAGCAGCAGCAGCGGCAACGGGAATAGCAATAGCACTGGTCGGCCGGCTGTGGCTGAGGCGGCGGTATCTTTGTGTCGGCTGAGATTTTTGGAGTACTGCCACACAAGGCAGCCCACACTGCAGGGTCAGTCAGTGACAGTGACTTTTAGCTTAGCTAGCTGAGCTGGTGTGATTGAGTGGCAACGGTCCGTTCCGTGTGCCGTTGATTGTATGTCCGTGTGTGTGTGTGTGTCTGTGTGTGCAGGGGGGTTGAACTATTCGGTGTTGGTTGACGGCAGCCGAGGTCGTGTGCTGAGTTTCGGCGACGGTGCGTGCGGCAAGCTGGGGCTGGGCGACAGAGTCGACCGCACAAGACCCACACACATCGGTATGTGCACACACACGTAGCCAACCGACCAACCAACCAAGGGCAGCATTGTCAACGAGTGTCATGACGCTCTCTCTCTCTCTCTCTCTGTCTTTCCGCTTGTCCAGAGAGGTTTGGTTCTCGTACTGATGGTGGTGCCGGTGACGGTAGTGTTGGTGTCGGTGTCGTCGACGAGTGTGTGGGCATCAGCTGCGGCGACTTCAACACGGCAGCCCTCACAAAGGACGGACGGCTGTTCACCTGGGGATACGACTGCACAGAGAAAAGTACACACACACACACACACAGAGGCACACCAAAGACAAAACCGACCATGCCATCTGTGACAGCAGATCGTGCAAGCGGCCCCTTGTACGCCGACCACCTTGCCCCAGTGCCTGTATCGCTCCCCCGCCCCCAGCCTGGCATGATGACCACCGCCACCATTACCCAGGTGGCGTGTGGCGGCGGGCACACCCTCATGGTGTCGGCCGACGGGCGGGCCTGGAGTTTCGGGTGCGGCGTGGACGGACAGCTGGGGCTCAACGAGCGGGCCGACAAGCTCACACCACAGCTCGTACACGTACCCGCTGCTGCAGATGCCGCTGCTGCTGCCGCCGGTGATGAGAGTGGCGAAGTGCAGCAGGGGAATGGGCGGCAGAGAGTGGTGCAGGTGAGTGACTGAGTGAGTGAATGGGGCAGAGAGCGCAACACAGAGACGGGCGGATGTGTCGGTGTGTCATGCATGTGTGTGGTGTGTGTCGTGTGTGCATGTTTTTGTGTGTGGGTGACAGGTTGCGGCCGGTCGTCGGCACAGTTTGCTGCTGACGCTGGTTGGTGAGGTGTACAGCTTCGGCGAGGGGTCGCACGGCCGACTCGGACTGGGACACAGGCGAGACGCACTCATTCCCACGCGCATTCGACACATACGCGGTGCGCACTCACTCCCAAGCCCGGCCAGACACACGAACACCCATTCAATGTGTGTGATGTGTGTCTGCTGCATCAGACACCAGTGGCACCTCGACCCCCAGCAGTGCGTCAGCGTCGAGTGTGCCGACGTCGGCCCTGTCGCCCTTTGTGTCCATCGCAGCCGGCGGTTTCCACAGCGCCTTCATCGACTACGAGGGCCACATGTACACATGCGGCAGGGGCAACTATGGCTGCCTCGGACACGGAGGCGCCGAAGAGGTCAGTCCAGTCAGTGACCAACCCCCCATACACACAACACACGTGTCCTCCTTGTGTGTGTGTGTGTCAGGATGAGCTGTGTCCGCGGCATGTGGTCTCCCTGCGGCACACCCCCATTGCCACAGCGGCCCTGGGCGCCCACCACACGTTGGCCCTCACACGTGCCCGGCAGGTCTTTGCGTGGGGTCAGGGCGGCTTCGGGCGGCTGGGGCTCGGCGAGGGCGCCACCGACACTGTGCTGCCGCAATTGATTCGGGCGCTGCGGGGAACGGTACATATACCGTGGGAAGTGCGTGTGTGGGCGCCATCACGATTGTGTGTTGTGTTGGGTGCAGCGTGTGGTTGAGATAGCCGCTGGGGACTATCACTCCCTGGCCAAGACGGAGCAAGGCCGGGTGAGCAAGCGAGATGTTATGACACTTAACACACAGATAGGCGCCTTGTGTTGCTTCATCTCATCTGGTATGGTATGGTGTGGGTCGTGTGTCAGGTGTACACGTGGGGTAGGGGCTCTGAGGGCGAGCTCGGCCACAACGACGCCAACAACGAAGACCAGTATACACCCAGGTACACACAAACAACACAACACAACACAGCCGCAAAACCGCACATGCCATTCATTCCCTCTCATTCATTCACAATAATCATCCTCAGGCTCCTGCGTCTGTCCGCCCCCGCCCCCTCCCAGCACCACCCCCGCTCCCGACGCAAATCGTCATCGGCCACCACCACCAGCGAGCCATCCAGCAACAGCAAGCAGGCCCCCGTCTCCCCACCCACCCCCCTCTACCCCCTCATCTCTCCCAACGGCGAGCCCTCCACAGCCATGCGGCTGCCGCAGTCGCCCTCACTGATAATGGGCTCGCCGCTGACGTGTAAGAAGCGCATGCCCAGAGACCCTCAGAGCAGCGACCACGATGGCGCATCCGAGGGCCCATCCCGTCCCTTCTTCTCGCCGCCATGGAAGCGGCCAGAGAGGGAGGCGGTGCCGCCACCGGCCTCGCCATTGCCGGCGCTGCAGCAGGAAGCGCCAGACTCCCCGGGTGTGGGTGTGGGTGGGGATGAGGGCGGGCAGCCGTGGAAGCTGCCCCCGCACCCCCACGCTGCTGCTGGCGCCTCTGGGTCGTCTTATTTTGGTATCAGTAGTCTCTTTGCGGGGGTGCTGGGGCGGGGGTTTGGGAAGAGAGAGAGTGAGGGTGACAGTGGTGCCAGGGAGGGAGAGGTGGGGAGGGACGTTGTCCTTGTAGAGGGGAACGGTATCGGTGAGAGGGCAGGGGACGATGGTGACGGTGAGGGTGACCTTGATCGCAGCCCGCGAGTGTGTCTGTGTCACCACTAGCTCGTTGTTGCCGGACAGACGGACAGACGGACAGACGGACGGGCGATACGTGAGTGACTAGTCAGATAGGCAGTCAGGTAATTGTATTGTCATTGGTGTTGGTGCTGGTCTTTTTAACACACACACACACACATCCACTCAGTCGTGGCATGTTCGTGTTGTGCCAATAATACAACAAGCGTAGATACAGCATAGCATACACAGTCGTGGATACTTTCTTCTCTCTCGACACACATCCATTCACACACACACTATCGGTGTGTTGTGTTGTTTGCTGTGTACATAGTAGCCGTGTGCATATTACAGGGAGGGAGGCGCGGGGGGAGGGATGGGGGGGCACAATGGCAGAATGGCTGGCACACACATGTGTGTCCTGTGTAAGCACTCGAGGCACTCGCTGAGAGCTCTGTCTCACTGGACGATGGATGCTCGATCCCACTCTTTTGGGTCGCCTGTGATGATTTCTTGCCCGTCTCACGGTGTCTTTTGATCCCAGAGCATCTCCTCCATTCTTGCCGCTTGTGCAACTGAGCGGCGAGGACCGAGAGGTGGCTGTGGACCAAAAGGACACCGTGACGGCAAGGATACATCAGGCAATTGTGAGATGAGGACGGGGGAAGAACTGTCGACGGTAATGTCATTGGATGGATGGATGCGGGACCTCCTGGATGCATGATCTGTTTCACTGCTGTCTGTCCGTCTCTCTGCGTGTCGTCCGGGTGGATGAGATGCGCTGCCTGTTCCCGTTGACAGGGGAATGGGCAGTCCCTCGACGCCAGCCGGGCTACACGCCGAGAGACAGACAGCAGGGAAGAGCTGACGATGATGTGTGCTATGCCCCTCTCAAGCCACCACATGAGTGTGCTGTTGCTGCCTGTCTGGGTAAGTATTACGTGTAGCGAGTGCGTAATCGTATATACTCACACAAAGACCAACACATGCATGTGTAACATGCTGCTGCAACTATTACACAGTAGGGGGTCGATCCAACCAATCGGTGCATATTTTCCTCGCGAGACCGAGTTGGATCGACCCCTCCCCCCTCCCACACACACCTTCTCTTCGCCTGAGTCAGACAGACAGAATTCGTAAGTCAGGGGCCGGGGGCCTTCCCTGCCCGTGTGCCCTGTGCTGTGCTGTGTTCGGTGTACAGTCAAAGCCACCCATACATTCACTCTAAGATTCATTCAGTCAAGGGCCGATCTCGCATACGTGTGTATGCGTGTGTGTGTGTCGTGTGTGGATGCGACCACTTTTTCAACTGACGGTGGGTGAGGTGGGCACATTACACATGTGTTTGTATGTGTGTGTGGGTGCCCCGAGTACGTGTGTGGACAAACACATTGACTAGATGGCTGAAACCCTCCAGTGCCAAAAAACAGTAACGTACACAGAACAGCAAATGCCTCAACACACACACATCACACACAGATACCTCAAGGAATAGCTAGTGTAGTACATGCAGGTCATGCTGCTGCCTGAGCCTTCTCAGGTAGTGTAGCAGCAGCTGCCCCACCCTCTCTAGCGAGTACCTCTCCACCATCACCGCACGACCCCTCTCGCCCATGCGCCCGTAGCCAACCACATCGCTCTCAGACAATGACAGCATCTCCTGCACACATATCAACCCACACACACGACCTCACATAAGTACATGTCTCTCTCTCCCTATTTCTCTGTTGCTCACCCTCAGTCGTGTCTTGAGGCTTTCCCTGTCGACCTCAGCCCATCTGTGTTCCTTGTAGGGCCCACTGTTGATCTGGCTAAGACCGCTGAGGGCCACCTCCATGGCACACTCACTGGTGAGGTACGCCGAGGGGCCGCCCCAGAAGTGCGTTATCACCCGCCGCTGCATCGACAGCGACTCAACCAGTGGGCGGCCCCACCCCTCCCCCCTGCACACACACACACACAGAGAGAGAGAGGACGAGAGACAGAGATACCATGCACCAGAAACCATTCACACGGCCTTCTCGTCTGTGGGTTAGCCACCGTGCCGTATGGACAAGGGCGGTGCTGATTGTGCCATAGAGCGCCCTCAGCTGCCGGTCGCTGACGCGGTTGACAAACACTACCGACGGCAGCCATGCGGACAAATCGCCCGAAGACGACTGCGCCGTCAGCTTCCTCTCAATCAGCGGCTGGTAGGCCGCATAGTGCTGGTCGACGGCACGCAGAGGCTCGCTGTCGGGGTGGTTGCCGAATAGGTTGGCGACCACCACCAGACAGATGTCGCCGGGCCTGATGGCGGCCGTGGTGTTGCCTGTGGTGTTTGCTGATGCGAAGGCGAAGGCCTCGATAAAGGCGGGGATCATCAGGTCGTAGGCCTTTCTCGGCTCCCACTTGCCCACAGCCAGGAAAACCTTCCTGCAGCTGCCAGAACTCATGGGCACGCGAGCGCCCTCGCCCTCAGTCTGCACCTCCTCCCTCTCCACCAAGCTCTCTCCCTTGTCCTCGCGCACGACGCCATTTTCCTGTCCACGCCCGCCGAAGGCAGTCTCCTTCTCTGCATGGTACTCGACATAGGTGTCTTCGTCCTCGCTGAACGGCGACACAGGCGATGGTGGCTGACGAGAGATGGAGCCGTTGGCGTGCACCAGGAGAGACATGACGTCCACCAGGCTCTGCTGTGTGTGGTTGGCGGAGGGGCGGACTGTCTGGGAAAGGGAAATAAGAGAGGGGGCGGATCCTCCTGCTGCTGCTGCTCCTGCTGCTGCTGGGGGGTGGCGGGGGGTAAGAGGGAGAGGAAGCGCCACTTGCCGGCTCTTCCTGGCATCCTGTTCTGCTCGCAGCCTGACCAACAAAAGATACACAGGAGTGAGCGTAACAGATGCAAGAGATGGAATCCCGCCTGCTCACCTTTCTACCAGTTTCCGCGTATCTGCAATGTCATCATCAGTGACTCTCCCCGGGTCCCAGAAGGTGGTGTCCACCTGCTTCAACAAATGGACACTCTGGCGGCTGCAGCTCCACGAGCGACGCGCAAAAGCAGCGCGACCACATCGCGCTTACCCCCTCGGGAAGGACCTGTATGCGGGACAGTGGCACCCCCGCCGCCGCAAACACACTCGCACTCCAGTTGGTCGGCACCCACAGCTCTTGCAGGTCACGGAGACGGTCCAGCCAGTCGATGGGCACACGATCAGTCTCAAACATGGTCCTGCAGGCGCACACACAGAGAAGAAGAGACGGATTGCGTGCACGCGTCGTGTTCGTATGGACCGGCCGACAATGATGGTGTCGGGATCAGAGGTCGAGTGGGCTCGGTGGGCATGGTGCGAGAGGGAAAAGGCGCTTCAGAGCCACTGGGCTGTCTCGCCGGGACACCCATGCGGGCGGCTGAGAGTGGCAGATAACAATGGCAGGGATTGAGAGATCAGTCACGGACGTCACGGGGGAGCCGCCTGGCCCGTCCCTCTGTGTCTGCAAGTGCCAGCCGCCGTCATAGCTCCATGGCCGATGGGCGAACGGGCCGCCACCCACTAGACGGACGAACACCACAACATACACAACATGCAGACGGATCTAGTGTCTGTCTCACACCGAGTGTTCTCCAGACGTCGTCAATAGTGGTGGGAGTTGTGTCCCGTCTCCTCTCCTCCCTCATCTGCAGGTCGCCTGGCCGCAGCACCAGGGGCGCCAGCCGTGTGAGCGACGATTTGAGGCTCTCGACGTAAGCTCGGTCGACGGCGCCGCCGTGCTGCAGGATGGAGAGGTCGAACTCTTGTGTGAAGGCTGGCTGGTACAGCAGGGACAGCACGTAGGAAGTGGCCTCTGTGCAATAGCCTCCCCCTGAACACATCCATGACCAGAATGAATGAATGAATGACTCCCTCCCTCCCTCCCTCTATATAAGTAGGCGTCATTTGTTTTCTAACCTGTGAAGAACGGTGCGTGCCAGTAGACCTGGCACTTCGTCGACGCCGTGCCGCCCCTGCCGCGAGCGTCCAATGACATCCGATGGCCTCTCGCCCTGTCCAAAGCCACCATCAGCACTGCAAAGTGTGCCACGTTCTGCCACTTTCTGCCACGTGGTGGGTCCTCTCTTTTCCTTCGTCGTGGTGGGCCTGGTGGTGTTGGGGCAGTAGCATCAGGTTCTGCTTCCAGTGTGTGTGCAGAGGAGCATGGCGGCGGATGTGTGGCTTGGCACTGTGCGGTAACGCACACAGAAGAGGGTTTGCAGTGGTGCAAGGAAGAGGGGATGTGGGCCTCTCTTCTTGACGCCATGTCGGGGCTGCTTCTGCTGAAGTTCAGCGCATGCATCGCTCCGAGTCTTAACGCTGGGGGTGACATGGGGGCTCGCATGCATGCCAGTTGAGACTGCCAGTGGCCATGTCCACGTCTTTTGCTTGTTTGCCCAGTTGGGCCTCGTCGTTCTTGTCTCTTCCCTCCTCACGAAGCTCGCTAGACAGATCCAAGTAGATAGAGCAGGTCGTTGACTGGTCGATTGACTTCCCTTTCGATCGGCATTGTGCAGCTGCAGCCAGCCAGGCCTCCTGACTCTCCATGGCATATATATGATTGGGTGCGTGAGTGAGTGCGTTGTGTGAGTGCGCGTGTGTTCTCTTGGCGGTGCATAGCTGTGAGGCGCGTTTGTGTAGTGCCTGCAGCTGAGATGAGACACGGACCCGCCCCCGCGTGTGTCACGTGAACCAATCGTTCTTGAATGAATCTGTGAGCTTCACCAGACAGCATCGAAGTCACTTGCCGGATAGCATTGCGTGCACGCAGGACCTTAGGGCTTTCCTGTCTGTCTTCTCTGTGTGTGCTCGTGCGCAGAACGGTCCCCGCCGCATTCATGTCATGCAATCCCAGCGACGACCTGTAGGAAACAAGAAAGGTCACACTCAGTCTCAGACATGACGAGGAATCAAAAACTGGACACAGTCTGCAGCGAAAGGCTACACACAGAAAAAATGGGCATGCAAGCCGGCTCATCTGGGGCGACGCCGGTTGGCCCACGCGGAAAAAACCCTCCGGACGACACACACACACACAAAGTTACAGACCATTCCCACCCCCCTGGCGCCCACCCATGCAAGTGCTGTCAGGAGATGGACTCAGGCCATCTGTCTAGGACACTGTCTCTCTGTTTGTGCGTCAAAACCCCCTTGCAAGTGTCTGTATACGCAATGCATATGGGGGAAAAGAAATCATGTAAGTAAGTACGAGGTGTCCCGCTGCGAACTGGGAGGCGGGATCGGTGTCCATGCTGATTTGCTGGTCATTGGGTGGAATGGCTTCAGCTGCAGGGGCTCCACTGTTGCCGAGCGGGTGCGCTTACGGCTGCATGTAAGGAGCGGAGACACAAACCAGTGGGAGCTATCTTCGTGTCTCTGGCTGCATATGTGTCTGTATCGCGCACTCGTATTCGAGAAAACTCCCCGTCCGCACCAGACCCCACCATTGTATATATCTGGCACACACACGTGTGTCGAGAGGGAGGCCCGTATGACGGTTGTATGTCTCCTAGTTGAGTCTGGCTGACCGGATGATGGCGTTGTTGAGATGGGTGAGATCGTCTTTGCTGAACAATGGCCGCAGCACTGAGAGCCTTTTGGAAGGAGATACAGGCGGCAAACCTACAAGCAACACTGAAAGAGCAGACAGAAGAGACAAGGACGTGTTCACATTCAAACCCCAGTCACTCACCATCCATGCTGGCCAGCTTCTGCATCATCTTCCTGCTATGCCCCGCAACCGGCGCCCCCTTCTTGGGGTCCTTGATCGTCCGCGATAGGTCCATTTTCATTCGCTCAGCGACAGGAAACCTTCTTCTGTGGTCGTCTTCCTCGTCGATACATGGGGACTGTCGGGGATCGAGGTTGAACCGCAGGGCAGGCGGGGTGGTGCTTTCGACGACGCGAAGCTTCGACAGACACGAGCAGATGAGCTCCACCAAAATCACAAACACCTCCACTGCAGGTAGGGGAAAGGGTAAGCACCACGCCTAAATGAACCCTACTGAGGGGGTTGGCCGAGTGCTGCGCATACTTGATAGCTTCTCTTGCGGTTCTATCTTCCGGAGCACGTCGATTTCCTCGAAAGCTAAAGAGAAGTTGGATATCGGATACGCCAACAGCTGCACATCGGAACAACACAACACAACACGCCGCCTTCACGTGTTTCGTGTGGCTCTCTCTTTGCCTTTCCGATGAAAACCACTGCGTTGACGTGAATCTGGTAAGAGGGGGGAAACAAGACAATCAGCAAACCGTGCAGTGCTGCTTTCATTGTCTTACCTGGTCACAGAGCCTCCCAAAATCAGGCAGCGAAAGGCGGACCTTAACACCACCCAACCACACACAAACATTGACACACGAAGGACCCTCTCTTCTCCGCTCCCTCCCACACGCACCTGGCACTCAAGAGCGATAAGGAATCTCCCACACGCTTCGTACTGTTCGCAAAAGTGCAACAATCCTTCTCTCAGCGACGCTGGGGGAGGCGGGGGTGAGAGCAGGTGCCACCGACACACATTGGACCGTATGTGCTCCTTCTCCACCACAGCCACAGGCGCCGCCCCACCAGAGGCCGACTCATCTGTCGACAAGGAATCAAGACTGAGTGTGCCGCTTATTCCTCGCGAGGACCTCCCCGCTGGTCGGGCCCCCAGATCGGTGCCCGCCGCGGTTGGGGTTTCTCCCTTCCCTCCCTTCTGAAGTTTTCTGTCCCGAGAGAAAGATGAAGAGGGCCTCCACGTCAACACAAGTCGGCGTCAAAAGCCTAGCCGAGCTCTTCGCCGAAGCCAAGTGCGTCGGCAGCGCTCACGAGTACGAGGCCGAGTGCGTCGCTGGCGGCCTGACGCTGGATTATTTGCTCGCTTCGAAGGTGCTGATAGAGGACTTCCCCAGGGTTGTGTGCCACAGTGATCGGATGGCAATATTGGCGGCACTAGAGGGCACCAAGCGGATCAAACGGGGAGAGACCAATGTGGCGCTGGGGGAGAGTGGTGGGTCTGCTGCTGCTGGGAAGGGGGAGGGGCCAATCAAGCTGAGGTCTGCTGACATGGTTGATGTTAAGCCGGTCAGTCGACACTGGGCCTACCCTCGATGAAAGATGAGCCAAGGGATCGTGGTGGGTATGGTGAATGGACTCACAGACATGATGTGTTCGGTTCGTGTCGCCTGACCTTACTGAAGTTTCTACGGCCGGATGAGACGCATAATGCTGCAGCCCAGCCCCATCAATCTGATCTATACAGAGAGAGGCAGGGCAGGGCAGGGCAGGGCAGGGCGTGGCAGGGCACTGCACTGCACTGCACACATGCACCCAATAATTGACTGAGACGTCAGCCGGTCGCTGAACTGTACATCTCCCTTGTCGCCTCTGAAGTCACACCATGATCGAGACCCCTACCATCCTCCCAAGCATCACGCAGTGCACCCTCATCCCCGGGCTCATCTCCCTGCCCGTTGTCGGGCACGGCCTCCATCTGTGTCGGCTCTCCTTCTTGTGTTCGTGTCTCTGTCATGGCAGCTTTCTCGGCATCTGCATCTGGCTGTGGTGGGTGGGTGTGTTGTTGTCGTTCTGGAGGGTGTATGTTGTCGTTGTTAAGCACCGAACGAATGGCCGCGATCAGCTCATCTTCGGTCGGCACATCTGACAATGAAATGAGTGAACGGACAGGGTGGGGACATGGATGTGCAGGAAAAGTTCCAAAAGTTACCAATCAAAGGACAGATGTCGTGCAGGCGGCCAACGATCTGCACTCAGGCAGACAGACGCATTCCCATGATGGATGCGATGCGCGTGAGTGGAAGCTGGGCAGATGAGTGCCTCTGTCTGTCTCACCTACCTCTCTGAACAGCGGCACGTACTTCGACCCCATCGCTGCCAGGTCGCAGGCCACCCGGGCGATGTCGGCCTGGGGGAAGGCATCAACGAGGCTCTCAGCACGCAGGGCCAATGCCTGACGCTCACACATACACAGATAAAGAGAGATAAAATGTTGGCTCATTCGGAAGAAAATGTGTGTGTCCATCCACTCACTCACCTGTGTGACATCGTCGTTGGCCATGTGCAGCTGCCGGAGCGACCTGGCGATGCGAACAACAGCGCGATGCCTGGTTGGACACCCGAAGAGACACATAGGGGCACCCGGCAACACACAAAGACATGCATGTGTGGCTGGTCAGTCTTTCGATGTCAAGATTACGTGAGATAGGGGCATCTGGGCAGGACGCCTTGGGTCAGCACGGCATCCAACAGCTCCCCCGGCTGCACAGTACATGCATACACACCCACACACATATGCCATCGACCAGACCAGTGTGTCTCCCCCCTTGCTCTCCTCACCGCAATGCCGATGATGGGGAGGGCTTCCAGCAGATCGACCGTCTCCCACAGCGTCAACAAGCCGCCCTAGATGAACCGAACACACACATCCATGTCGATATGATGCGGCCCAGGTCTATGTCATCTGTTCACCTTTGCGCAACTGTTGAGTGCCCCCACGGCCGCTTGCAGCATCTCCACTGCCAGCCGCTCAGCATCGGTATCGCCGTCCACTGCGTCAGCCTCTGTGCCCCCATGTTGCTCCTTCCTCGCGTAATGCAGCTGCAGGAGAGCGAGGCTCGACCCACGCAGCAACGTAATCGCCCCTGCAGTGCACCGGCACGCCCACACAACACATCACATGCATGACAAAAGATTGCGTGCTTGTTGGGGCGCGTGCATCACACTGACTGACTGACTGGCTGACTGACCTCTGGGTGTGAGCTCATTGCACCTCTCCCTGAAGCTCTCGGCAACCACTCGCAACAAGCCCCCCATAGGCAGCCCACAAGACGCGCCGGCGTGCAGCCACCCCACCAGCACATCATACTCACACCTCTGCGGATCCAGCGCCGTCAGCGCATTGTCCAGCCGTGCCGACAACGCCTCAGTGAAGAACGCCAGCATCGCCGGAGAAAGCCCTTGGAGCCGCTGAAACATGTTCAGACACCCGGCCAGCCTCGTCCAGGAGCACCATTCCACCTGGTCGAATATCGAGCGGTACAGACACTGCAGCACATCGGGGTCGTCCATGACGGCCTCACTGCCCTCCTTGCTGTCCGCCAGAGCCCGCAGCAGCTTGTGGATCTCATCGGGGCGGAAGTCGGCGGCCTTGGCCTGCGCCTGGAAGAGGATGTCTTTCCAAATGGACGCGCCGGCTCGCTTCTGCATGTCCGTGTGTCGGCTGAGCTTGTGTGCGTAGTGGGCGAGAACTCGAGGGCGCATGTCGAACACGGAGAGATCAAACGCTGATCTCCTGTGTGCAGGGGGATGGAGAGGGGGAGCAGGTACGGCCTCATTGGGGAACGGGGCGCCCGTAGCAGCCGTTGTGAGAGGGCGATGGTAAGCGTGACATGTTGAAGGGAGGAGAGCAGGAAGCAGCGTCAGGTCAGACGGAGCCCAGATCTTGGTCAATCCCCAACATGCCCTCTTCGCCGGTCGCAGTGATGTCATTAGATCTTCTCTTTGTCAGAGCTAAGCTCGCAGCCGGATCGGCGTCACCGTTGTCCTCCTCCCCCCCTCTTTCCTCCTCAGAGGAGCTTGTGCGATGCGCAAAGCAGCTAGACGGCCAAGAATATCATGAATTGATTCATTCATTAGCTTTCTTTTTCTGACACACTGTGCTCGTTGTCCTCGGCGACATCCGTGACGCATTGATCCATGGCAGACAGACACGCAGACATCGAAGCGTCCTTTGTCGTCTGCACTTGTCTGATGACGACTTCATTTCCCATACGCGGCCACAGAAAAATGGCCTAGAAACTCAATCAATGTACGAATTGCATCCCACGCACACCGGCCCTCCACCCATCCTCCCACCCCAGACGGATAGCACAGTACAGGAACCGCCGGCAGCATGTGTGTGCGCGTCTCAAAACACCAAAAACAGACAGCGAATCGACCGATTGACTTACCGCAAACGAGGCAGCGACACGCGACGTGCATTGCAAATAAAGAGCAGATGATGAAAAACATCCCAGCCCTCCCCCCTTCTCCCCCCTCCCCTCCCCTCGGCTCTGCTCAGGTTGACGGCACAGTGACTCCGAGGATGTCTGAAGCAATCTCGCTGATGTCTTCGATGCCCAGGATGGCGGCAAAGTCGGGGACGAGGATGTTGTCAGGAAGAATCTCACTCTCCCACACGTAGGTGAACTTGCCCACGGTGATGGAGTAGAGGAACAGCCGGTCGCCCCCGTCGTCGATGAAGTCCACACCCACACCCACACTGCTCGTCTCCACCTCGGCGGACCCCTGCGGGACGCCGTCGTCGCCCACACCGGCACCGATCTGGGCGTAGACCTTGCCCAGCCGGCCGAAGCCTACTTGGCCGAATATCTCCTGACTTCCCTCGGGGTCATCGTCGGGGAAATCGCCGTTGAGCACCAGCTGCCAACCGTCACCCCAGTTGCCTGAGTGAGTGGAGAAATGCAGCAACGAGTTAACAATGTCTTGTCTAAATGCGTTGATGTCTGTCTGTCACTGTTCGTTCACCTTGAAAGTCAGTCTCTCTTTCGTCAAAGTCTCTGAGGACGGAGAACTGCCTCCCCAGTGTGCCGACGCTGACGGCGTACTCGGTGTCGTTGACGTCGGCACCGACGGCGACTGAGACGCTCCTCCAGCCCACAAACACCTCGGTGGCCAGCTCCTCATCGTCGTCGGTCGACGGGTCCTGCACGTCGTCGAAGTCATGCCGCACGGCCACCTCCACGTCGCGCACCTTGACCCGCTGGCCGTAGTCTCTGTCGGAGAAGTCGATGTTCGTCCCGGACTCCACCCCCCGCGCGACCACCTCCACAGCTGTCTGGGCATCGTCGAAGTCACGGTCGACTCTCACACCGTACGCGCCGTAGGAGACGCCCACACCGCCTTCAATGTCCGATTCGTCGGTCGACACGGACACCTGGGCCTTTCCGAAGCCGACGTTGGTCGATGTCGCTCGGTCTTCGAGGCCGACACCCACACCCACGTAGCCGTAGTCATTCCCCACCTGCACGGCCGTCTCTCTGTCCTCGAAGTCGCGGCCCCACGTGACCGCCCAGTTGTCGTACACAATCTCGTTCGACACCTCTTTAATCGGCTTGCCGCCCAACTCTTTGTCGGAATCGTATCGGAGCGTGTTGCTCCCCAGGAAGGCCGCGGCGAGGAGTGCCGCGGACACGGCCGCGCGGTCCTTCTCGTCCACTGTGTTGAGGAAGGTGCTGATCTGGCTGACGTCGCCGTTGGCCACCGCGAGGGCGGTCAGGATTTGCTGTCGCTCCTCTGGGGGGATCTGGTTCAGAAACGCCGCGATGTCCTCGGCCGCGGCGTCGTCCTGCAGCATCTTTGTGACGACGTCGAGGGGGTCTTCTGTCACGCTTTTCGACGTTGACAACATCCGCTTCGCTGCGAGCACCGAGCCGGGCTTGAGGGGGCTGAAAGGGTTCTCCCTCTCCACTGTTCGCGTGGCTCCCAGTTTTCGCATTGATCCGAACTGCGCGAAGGCCGTGGGGCCCATCGCTGCTGCTTGGGCGAAGTGCGATTTCGGCTGTCGGCCCCAGGCACAGATGCTCTCGACAGACGGCTTGGTGACGAAGGTGGCCATCATGCACGAGATTGTGTAGCGGTCGTAGTCCTTGAACATCATCGGACGCAAACTGAAGACAATCTCAGCTTCTGCCAGGAAGACACAACACACAGAGAGAGTGGAATGCACATATCATATGGACGATCTGTGTGTGCGTGCGGGCTGGTGTCGATCAGCGCACCTGAGTCCTCCGTCCCCCCGCCACTCTGCAGCTTGATGACTTTGAAATGCACGTCCTTGTTGATGGGACACCCATTGAGAATCAGATGGTACACGCAACGCGGGTTGCTCGACTGTCGGCCCTCCGGACACACCGCCGTGCACTCCATCGGCCACGGCCAGACGTCCTCTCCCGCACCGTTGACCGTCGATTCGAAAATCATCCCACTGACACGAGACGGAGAGACACAGACAGAGAGACGGGACAGATGAGGGGAGAGTGGCGGGCGGTCGCGTCGTCTGTCTCGCTCACTCGTCGTCATTGGTGGTGGCAGTGTTGAATTCAGTGCCGCCGATCACCCCGGCAGAGAGCATGTGTCCCGTCACGGCGGCCTTGACGAACTTGGGCATCTTCTTGCTGCCCTCGTACGCCTCCTTCGACGTCGTCTTGTGCTCCCACTTGGCCGTCGCCAGACATCCGCCCGAGCCATCGCCCACCGGATCCGGCCGGTTGTCGTTGGTGCTCTGCAGCCGCCTTCTGTCCCCTTGAGCATTGGTGGTGCGTGGGCATGCGCATGTGATAATGGCGTTGTTCTCAGGGCCATGGACGCGGAGAACGTTGACATAGTACACGTACCTGTCCGTGACCGTCTTCTTGGTCTTGCACCCGTCGTACGTGGTCGAGGCCGCCAGTGCGTGTCGGCCCGGCCCGTAGAAGTCCTCCACCCAGTGGGCCACGCACCTCTTGTCGCTGATGGCGTCGTGGAAGCCTCCAGGGAACTTGCCCTCAAACGCGGGGTTGCGCGCCATGGGGACGGCCGCCGTCATCTTCTCGTCGGAGCACCACGCGCCTGGCGGCACCTTCTTGGGCAGGCCAGTCCTTTCCAGCCTCTCGCGATGGGAGATGTACTGGCTGGGGTCGAATTTGGCTTTCTGTGGCCCGCGCAGCTTCGGCCCATCTGGCTCGGGGACGCCTTTGATGGGTGGCGGTGGCGGTGGTGGCGGTGGTTGATATGGGCGGTCGGGGGGTGGAGGCGGCATGAAAGGACCGAGGAACGAGCCCCTGCCGGGGTCTGCACGGGCGATGATGGGCAGCAGGAGAGGCACGAGGACGCTGACACGGAGACGGCCCATGGCTGCCGGCGGGAGAAAGAAAGAAATTTTCAAAGTTGAACATACCACAATTGTCCCCCAAGTTGAGCTCGCAGTCCCTCCAGCGGATTCTCCGAGAGCCGTTCAAGCAGTGCGTCGGTCCTTCCCCTTCTTCTCCCGTTCCCCCAACTGTTTTCCTGCTGCATGCAGTCACTTCCACCAAGTCACGTGCCAAGAGAAAGTGACAGCAACGAGCCAGCCAGCCAGCCAGCCACTTAGTCACACTATGACACGCACCAAGTGGATGGATGGACGGATGGATGGACATACAGACAGACAGCAGGATTACAAACAAATACACACACACACATACACATAGACACCCTTCCCCGAGTCACGTTACGGTATCGACATGAAGACGCATGCATGAGCTACCTACATACACGGGAACGCATCCACAGACACCCACTCATACAGACAGACAGACAGACAGACAGACAGAAAACACGACAGGCAGGCAGGTAGAGAGACACGCAGAGTCGGCTGACGTGACAGACGACGCAGAGACAGACGGGCGCTTTACCTCGCCCTTCCACCCTCACGCCTACCGCCACGTCTGCCGTCTGCGTGTCAGCCTCACTCGTTGGTCGGTTAGTTGAAAAAGAGCAAAAAGACGCCACACCCACACAAGACACCAGCACCAGCAGCAGCAGATCCATGTCCCTCACCCACCCCCAACATAGATAGCATCTACACGATCACCCCCTCAACGCATTTCTTGGCCTCCGCCACGACCGTGTCGGCATTGCCTGCACAGCTGGCCCGCACAAAGGCCTCCGTCTTCTGCGCCACCAGCTCCCATATGGCCTTCTGGTCGGCCAGCCGGGTGTGCAGGTACGCCACGACCAGTGCTGACAGCAGCACGGCGTCGTCCACACACCCACCCACGCCGGCCTTGAGCTCATCGTACTTGGCCGCAGACACGCCCATGACCGACAGCAACTGAGGGGACAACCGGGCAGAGAGGGAGAGAAAGTGAGAGTCATCTGTGGGCGTGTGCTGTGGGGAGGTACCTTGTCTTTGTCGTTGAGGCTGTATGAGCCGTTGAACTGCTGCATGTCGACCAGCAGAGTGAGCGCATCGGTCTCCTTGGCCTTGGCCTTGTCTTGGGGGCGGTCGGCTTTTTTCTGCTCCACCGAATCCATCATGATGTGGTCGGTGTCATCGTCTGCCAACTCCTCCTCCTCGTCTCTGTCGACCATCGCGCCCTCCGCCCTAACAACATCAATCTCATCGGCCTCAGCAGCCTTGGCCCGCTCGCCGAAGCCTGCGAAGCCAAAGATCTCCCTGACAAACACAGGCCAAAGCGTCAATCAGTCTCTCCGCACATGTGCGTGTATGTGTGTGTGTGTGTGTGTGTGTGTGTACCCTCTCGCGTCCATCTTCTTGTGTTTCCCCTTCCGCGCGCCGCCACCCCCGATCCCGAGCGCCATGCCTCGCGGCGGCCCGGCCATCAAACGTCTCGGAGCGGCGCCCCTGAGGAGAGAACGCGCCACGGGCATACCGCCAGGGGCCATGGGGGCCGCCGCCATGGCACACATCGCCATGGGCATCGCCATCCCGCCATACTCGTACTCGCCAGCCTGCATGAGAAGCACACAGACAGATGCAGACAGGAGTGGATGAATGAATGGACGGATGGATGGATGGATGGCAGTCGGGGCGATGCAGGGAGGGAGGACTTACTTGTGGCACCACAACTGTCTCGGGTGGTGGCTGCAGGACGGTGTGGGTGCGTTTCTCGATGGCCAGGTAGGACGTCCACTTGGAGGCCAGACCGAACGTCACACCGAGGGCGATCGCCTCAGCCTTCACCTGACACACATCCACACACACATAAACACAGACACACACACAAGTGTACCCACAACACCACCATGGGCATCCTGGTCTTCCCGTACGTGGCTCTCGAGTTCGGGGCTAGGCGGTCTGCGGCCATAGCGGTGTCTCTGGCTCGGCTGCTCCATCGCCTCAGCCTTGTCGTGCAGCAGCGAGGTGCCCTCCTCCAGATCACGCAGCATCACACGGGCAGCTAGACGATGCAGCTGCACACACCATACAAACACATCACAGAGAGAAAGAAAGAGAGAGAGTGTGGCTGTGTAACGTGGATGGGCACGTTTGTTTCTACCATGCCGTCTTGCTGCTGTTCGTTGCCGTCGTCCAGCGGCAACCGCAGCTCGATCGGCCCCTCTGGCGAACTCGCCTTCAGCAACACATGGGTCTGACACACACGCACCCACACAAACACATGCACATACATTCGCACCACATGTGTGTGTGTGCATCTCTCTCCCGTACCGGTTTGGTGGTGTCGTGGAAGAGTGCGTAGGCCACGTAGTGCGACCCCGAGAACACAGGCGGGTTGTGGAAGGGCGCGCGCCACACGGGGAGGTCGGACGTCGACAGAGTTGTGGCGGGGGCGTGTGTGCCGTGTGTGGCCTCGAGGGCCTTGTCCTTCTCGCCAGCCTGCTTGGGCGCGAAGAACGACAACGCACCCTGTTGGCACAAAAGAGAGTGAGTGAAGTTGACATCTATCTATCTATCGTGGGTTGGGCGACGTACCAGTATGCCGGTCTTTTTGGGCTGCTCTGGCTGTGGCTGTTGCTGCTGCTGCGTGTCGGTGCCCGTGGTTGTGGGTGTGGGTGTGGGCGCAGGTGCAGGTGAGGGCTTGGGTCCCTCCCACTCGATGGTGAGGTTGGCTAGAGCCGGCTGCAGGGCTCGTTTGAGCTGACCGATCACCGCCTCACGCAAATCCTCAGTGTCCGTCACAAACTACACACACACACACACACACGTATACACACATGATGCAGAGAGAGATGTTGTTTATGTGCGTCCCTTCCCAACCATATACACGTACCTGTGCGTCGCCGTTGCCGTTTCTGGCGATGCCCTTGACGAGGTAGGTGCTGACGCCGCTCCCGATGCCCAACGAGAACACACGGGGCGGCTGGTGCTCGCCAGCCGATGGCGACGATGGGTTGGCCTCCGTCTTGACGAGCTGCACCACCTCCGCCTCGTTGCTCACCTGACCGTCCGTCAGCACAAACACCTGCCTGCAACCAACACACATACACACAGAGAGGGAGAGATGCAAGAGATCAGCGCAGATGAGTGTGTGTGCGTGTGCGTGTGTGTGTGTGTGTGTTGGGGCCACCCACCCGATGGCTCACCGTGCGTATCCCTGAGTGGGCTTCATCTTCTTGAAGAGGTGCTCCAGTGGCTTGAGGATCTCGGTGCCGCCCATGTCGGCATCGACCGTCGACACGAAGGCCAGCGCCTCGGCGACAGTGGCCTCGCTGGACTTCACCGATGAAGGCTTCCACACACTGATTGATTGCACCACACACCCACAAGCATCCACAGCGCACAGAAAGCCAGTGTGTCTTGGGAACGCTTACCTGAAGGAAGATCCGAAGGAGATGAAGCTGAAGTAGCAGTCCATTGGCAGCGACTTGAGGAAGATGGTCATGGCCTTCTTGCTCTGCTCGATACGCGAGCCGCCCATCGACCCCGAGCGGTCCAGCACAAACACCAACTCGCACTTCTGCTCATCCAGCGTGAACTGAGACACACACACACACACACACACCACACAGAGATGGTCTCTCCCCGTTCTCATGTGTGTGTGGTGTGTGTCTGCTCTGCTCACCTTGGGGACGATGCTCATCATGGCCGCGCCGCGGTAAGGGCAGCACGCCTTGACATCGACCTTGTCTCCCTCTTTGTCCTTGTCGACCTCCATTTTGTCGTCCTTCTTGCCCCCGCCCTCTGTCTGGTCGGCCAACGCCAGGCGCTTCTCTCTCTGCTCTTCGAAGTATCGCTCGGGCAGCAGCTGCCAGAAGACACGCGGCGTGTGCAGGTCAACCACGTGCACCTGGATGATGATGTCGGCCGCTAGGAAGACTTCCGGCAACGCCAGGGTGACCTCAGCCGACCTGACAACACACGGCATCCATCAGTGTGTGTGCGTCTTTCTTCCCACCTCTCTCTCTCTCTCTCTGTGCCGCGTGTGCGTGCTCACGTTCCCTCCATTTTGGAGACTTTGATGGGGTGCGACGGCGACTCGATGCTGTCGATCTTGCTGGGCATGGCCATCTTGGCGGTTAGAGAGAGCTTGGCGGCGTTGGCGCCCATGTCAGGGGTGGTGCCGGGCGTGACGTAGGTGACGTTTTGCGGCACCTCGGACGCCGGCTGGTGCTCGGGTGTGTAGCGGGGGGCGATGTGCGTCGGCAGGGTGAAGCGGATGCGCTTGTCGAATATCGACAACTCATGGCAGTACTGACACACAGATAAGGAATATGGGTGGATGTGCGCAAATCTTCCCTCCCTCCCTCCCTCCCTGTGTGTGTGAGGGTCACCTTGACGAAGACCTTGACGGTCTTGCCTGGGAGTATGTTGCCGACGGAAGCCTGGAAGATGTCGGGCCGCTCCTGCTCCATGAGGTAGGCGCCGTGTCCGGCCGATATGGCCTCGTCGTACTCCTTCTTGGCCTGCACCTTCTCCTTGACGATGCCCATGATCTCTTTACCCTCACTCTCGGCCCAGAAACCTGTCACGTAGCCAGATGGACACACACAGGGGAGAGGACACATTGTGTGTGCCCGTGTGTCTGTGTGGGGGTGGGTGCGTACCAGTGACGGCAGAGCTCTCGACCAATGGGAAGCAGTACTTGGCCTCGATGGGCTTGTCGCGGTCATTCATGTAGGTCTGGCAGAGCACCGTCTCGGCCACAGTGTCCAGCACGTTCGCCTCGGCGTGAACACTCACCTACACACACACACACACAGGGGGGGGG